GCCAAAATACCAGCAACAGTGTGTGAAAACCTTGTGAAGACTTACAGAAAACGTTTGACCTCTGTCATTGCCAACAAAGGGTATATAACAAAGTATTGAGATGAAATTTTGTTATTGACCAAATACTTATTTTCCACCATAATTTGCAAATAAATTCTTTAAAAATCCTACAATGTGATTTTCTGGATTTTTTTCTCTCATTTTGTCTCTCATAGTTGAGGTATACCTATGATGAAAATTACAGGCCTCTCTCATCTTTTTAAGTGGGAGAACTTGCACAATTGGTGGCTGACTAAATACTTTTTTTCCCCACTGTATATATATGTAGGTACTGTTTGATTTAAAAAAAAAGTTTTTCTGACCCTGAGACTCAACTAGTTTCTGCAATTCTCCAGCTGTGGTCCTTGGAGAGTCTTTAGCCACTCAAACTCTCCTCCTCACCGTGCATTAAGACGATATAGACACATGTCCTCTTCCAGGCAGATTTGTAACATTTTCTGTTGATTGGAAATTATTAATTATTGCCCTGATTGTGGAAATGGGAATTTTCACTGCTCTAGCTCTTTTCTTAAAGTCACTTTCAAATTTGTGAAGCTCAATTATCTTTTGCTGCACATCAGAAATATATTCTTTGGTTTTTCTCATTGTGATGGATGGAAATTTGGCCTTTGTTTTCCCTTCTATTTATATTCCTGTGAAACAGGAAGCCATGGCTGGATAATTTCATGTTCATAATCACCCTGGTATGCTCAAAATTGTAAATATGAATGGGAATACACTTCACAGATATTTTACTCATAAGAATTTCTAGGGGTACCAATAATTGTGTCCAACGTGTATTTGAGAAAAAAATATTTATGTCATAATGATATTTCCCCCCATTTTAAATTCTTATTCTCCAATGAAAGGTTAGATTTATGTGATTTAAAAAAAAAATAAAAGATCAAAATGATTAACAATGCAGATTTATTTTCACTGCCTTCTTTTGATCATATTTACCAAGGGTGCCAATAATTCTGACCACGACTGTATATATATATATATATATATGAAGAGATAACATGGTCATGCGATCAATAGGAGATAAGGGCAGTGTTACTTGTTTGAATAATATATATATATAGCTATGTGTGTGTGTGTGTGTGTGTGTGTAGACAGATATATATATAAAACATTTTTTTGGCAAAAAATATACTTCACCTTTAAAGACAGAGCAGCTGTACGAGACTGTAAATATGTGCAGCCTGAATTAGGTTTGTGAGGTCCATTCAGTATTCTATTTGCTCACACTGTGAGTGTCACAAAGAAAATGTTAATGTATGTGTGTGATTTGTGGAGTGTCCAGATGGAAACCATGCAAAGGAGAGGGCCAAGGTCATAGGAACACACACACACACACACACACACACACACACACACACACTAGAATCATTCTTTACGTAAGTTTGGTAACGCAGATGGAGATGCTCAAAGGGGGTGCAGCCTATCATTAAATGTTTGTGCCTTAAACCAAACTGGATATTATTCAGTTAGCTATTAAAAAAAACAACAACTGTTGAAGACAGTTTACATTAACGCCCACTACCTAGCACCTCTTGTGGCAATGTTGAGAATACGACGGATACTAGCATTGCATTATGGATTGCATTGCAATAACATGCATCACACTTGCACAAGTAGAAGTGTTTATGTTCACATATTTGTGTAGAGTTCTGAACTGTTTCATTAAGTCAAAGATGTGGCAGAACAACGTTTCTTTACAACAACTACAAAAATAAAAATTAATAAAAACAATGCAAAAACATTGTTTCTTAAATTGACCCATCACAAATGCTCCCTTTATATTTTTGTGCAAGAAACTCAATATCGAAGTAAACGACACACACATATATATGTTTATATGTATGTATAAAAATACATCCACCATTATGCATTATCCATGGACAAATCATTACCCCTGCACTTTTCTTTAAAGGTCATTTGGCACAACTTATAATTTGGCTATAATCATGTTGCATGGCCAAGGCAGTCACATAGTCATAAACATAGCAGTTTGTTTTGAGGCAGGCAGCTTCATCAATTCACTTGTTCTCCAGCACAGCACTTTACTTCAGACGAATTTTGACTTTATTTTCTGCACTGACAGTTACGGTATGACTTTTATTGCAAACATATATCCATGATGCACATCTTAGTAACTGTGAGACAGTAGAAAAATGCCCTGATATAGAGGACATTGAATCGGTATGTCAGAGAAAGCAGTTTTCTGCGTCATTTTTAAGTCAAGAAGTGTCGCCCTAACAAGATTTAGTGGGATACCAGTCATTCCCTTTGACACGGCTTACTGTATGTCGCCTATGTCCTTGTTCTATCAACCTTTTGGTATTGAATCACAGTGTAATACGACATAAAATATCTAGCATGTGTGACGTGAGTACAACAAGCATGACGTGACGAACCACCAAGAGGAACAAGATTGATGTCGTCCAAAAAAAACAAACAAAAACACCCACACTGTCCTTAGAAGACGATGTTCATCTTATACTATTACAATAATAGAAGCCTGACATGTGTACCTATGATGTCCTTGAGCTTTCCTACTGCAGTTTCTCATACCATAACAAGAATAAGGCATTTTTTAAAGAACAAGTCACATATCAAACCCAGACAATTGTGAAAAGAAACCAGAAAACTCAATAAGATTACGTCTACCAGCTCCACTAACCACAAGGTTGTGTCAGATGCTTTGGGACATGCAGAAAAAAGCTGGATTCATTTCTTTTTTTCTTTTTAATACAGTATATACAGAGAGCCTGGCAGATTGTACATTAAACATTTAGAAAGCTGCACACAAGATGGTACATCTAGCAAAGCTAGCATAAGGCTAGTGTTAGTAGCCAAGATGCTAACCATTCAACGTGATCCAGAAATTTTAGACCTGAAAAACACACAAGGGGGACTTCAAATGTGTAAATCAAGCTTTAAAGCAATAGCTTAAGCAGTAAATCAGCACAATTTAGAAAGTTTTTCAGTCAGAATTCATCAGTGATAACCAATTAGCATTTGTAGTGCTGTACTACAGTACATTTTACTGTCACCCTCTTGAACATTAAAATTTCACTGGTATTACCCTACATTTGCATGTAAAAAGCCAGATGTCGCACATATTAGACAAATATGCCGACAAAGTTTACAGAAGTAATGCTTTTGGTAATGAACACGACTACGTTTCCCAAGTATCCTATTTCAAGTAGGCTGACAACATCTATAAAAATAAAAAAAAACTTTTACTTGTTCTTACATTTGAATAAACTATCATGCCACTACCCTAATAGCACACGTAGAATACATCATGGAGATGTTTATTTAACGTGCACATTTTCACCTGGAAGATCAATTTTTTTAGTTTGCTCATCTATAGACATTTACACATGTCCTCAAAGCAACTGTATGCAACTTATATACAGTTGATTTAAGATGTTTATGATTTAGAATATTTGTAAAACTGCTTTTTAGAAGATGTTTAGCAGATGTTTTCCAAATGAAGAACTCTTTAAGACGTCTTAGAGATGTACGTGTGCCATCTGGGTTAGTTATACCCAATGTTGTTTTTGCAGATTTGTACTGATGCTATAAGCGTTATACTGTGTACTGTAAAAACATAGATCACGTATGCTATCAGATATGTAGCTAGCATAAATGGATTTAAATTCCTATATAAATATACTTCTTACATGTGGTTTTATTTATGATTTGTTCTATTTGTGTCAACAATCAATACCAACATCAGTTAATCTAGCCCTACTATAGCTCAGATGAGATGTGAGGAGCCTACGGATATGCACTCCAGATATTGTATTTGGTTATTTGAAGGGCCATTATGAGATACAAAAACATAGAGCCTCCTGATAACACAACAGCATATGTGGTGATGTAACTAATGAATAGATTGTCATGCATTCATTTATTCTTAACACATCCTAATGTATGAGAAAAACAATCTTATTATTATTTAGAATATTAAAATAAACATGAGTTCTATCTATTAATTCGCAAATATATCCACTGATTAAAACTTAAAAATATTGAATGTCTTGTGTCTGAAGCTACTGATCAACAGCCACGTTACAATTTTATATATATATATATATATATATATATATACAATCGCTAGGACCAATTTCTCCATACTTAGGTTACTTTTTTTATAACGTCACACAGCCAGCAGTCTGTGGGCTAAAATGTGGATAATTTTTTCATTGCTTTGGCACAAAATACAATACAGAAAACCTGTAAACATGGACATTGTATTTTTATGAGTGACAAAGTATGTTGGTTGGATGACAACCTTTGAAAGAGTTATGGAAAAATGAAATTATTTGAGACATGCATAATGTGTTTTGGTATTTTTACTGCATTTTGGATGTGAAATTTGCTAATGTAACAGGTGGAAAGCTAGTTAGGAGAATTGTGTGAAGAGTTTAGAAAAGTGACCTAAGTATTTAGAATTCGGTCTTAGCGGTTGTTAAAAGAAAATAAAAAATGTTAGTGTACACTGTTCATGAAATGAATTGAATGAAATGGCAAAGGTAATGTTTTTTTGCTTAATGTAGCTTGCTGTCACATAAGTATATACTTTACGCAACTTTTTAGTTTATCTACAAAAATGTCTCTATTTAAATTCACATGTAAACCTGGCACTTTCTACGTGAATGCAAAAAGATTGTTTTTTTCGAAATCGAGATGCATAATCAAATTGAACACACTAGGAGAAAGAAATAAAATCATAAGGGAACAATGGCGATAACAGCATATAAATATGCACATATCCATGTTGAGTGCATGTTCTCATATTATCTTAAATATATGCTTAAAACTACAACTACATTTTGCATGAAATTTTACAGACAGGAATCTATGAAACTGGCTTGCAATTGCCAAAATATTAATATTAATAAAAATAGTGCATTCACAAACATGAATACTGTATTGTCCAAAACACACACACACACACACACAAAATAAATAAATAATAAAAATAATAATAAAAACGCCACCAGTGTAATGATCTACCAAAACCACCAACACTTCAGCGTGAGGTTATGGAAATGCATGTTCCTCCTGTGTGGCACTGGCCCAAATCTAAAATCCAGTCTTTATATTCTTCACAGCTGAAATGTTTCATAGCATTTCAGATCCTCAGATGAGGGTCTGATGCACACTGCTCATACTGGCCTCAAACAAAGAACCGTTGTCTGGCCCAGTGCCTTACAGTCAGCCGTCAGCACTAAATCAACTCACATGCAGGACAGCTCTGAGCTTAATACCATCCTGTGAGAGTTCAATCAACACTGACGTTTTCTTTAGGCAGGCGTAAGCTTGAAGACAATGTCAGCATGTGCCAAACTATTCATCTCTACGGCGAGTGATTAAAAAGGCACACAGTTTATTTATCTTGGAGCCTGCTCATGCTGTTTAAACAATAAGAGTCACTGGACAAAAAATGCACTGATAGACCCATGGGGATGTAAACACATATCTAGATGACACTACTGATATAATACTCTGGGTTTGCAAAGAGTCAAAGAACAGACAGTTAGTAATGATGCGCCTAGGGACATCGCTACTGGCTGCTGAAAGGCTACAGGTTCTTGCCGATGGCGACTGAAAGCCAATGGTGACTGATGTTTTTCTTCTGATGATACACAGTGTGAGGAGTGGAGGAGGGATTTAGTGGGTAAATAATGGCCATCTGTACAAGACCAGCAATACTGTCATACTTTACTCATGCAACACATGAAATGGCAAATACAAAAAAAACAAACAAACAAAAAAATCTACATGGTTGCTTAAAAAATGAAAATGAACACAGTAGCATCATGTTACTGATTAAGACTGGACTGGCAGTTTATTTATTTGTTTCTGGTTTCCATGTTCATTTCTGTGGGCTGGACCGGTTGATGGTCGGCTTTCTGTTGACGTAAGTGGCCCAGTAAGCCAGGTTGAAGATGAAGAAGAGCACTGGAAAGATGATACGAGAGATCTTGTCCACTTTGCTGACACGATTGTATGACTTTCTCCCACCCTCCGGCACGTATTCCCCATCCATTTTGGGCAGCCGGATCTCTCGGACCGGCTGGGATGGGGTGGACGTGGATGTGGCACTCTTGGAGACGGTTGTCAGTCCGGGATCTTTGGCTACGCTCATGCTGTAGGTGGTTCCCACGATGTTGAAAGTGTTGTTGGTTTTCTTGGAGAAGGAAGCCGACTCTCGCCTCTGTGAAAGAGTCAAAAGGAAAAAAATAGAGCAATAAAAACACCTTATCTTGAGCAAAAGTGAAGCATTCATCTTACTAATGGACTCTCTAGTAAATCCCTGTTTTCCCTTACTGCACAATTTTTTATATCAGGGATTAAAGTTCTGTCGCTACGATGGATTTCCATCAGTTCATAAAGACAAATAAGCTACTAATCATATGAAATTAGTATTAATAAATTAATTTGTACTACAGAGGTGGCACAGAAGAACACAAAAGTGGATTGTAGGTTCATTTTCAGACGTTTAATGAGGCTCAGAGGTGGCATGAGTGCAATTAAATTCATAAATTCATGTGGAGAGTGTTTTAAATATAAAATTTTGAATACAGAAATAACTGAAATTATAAGCTAAAAATTAAACTAAACTAGTCACTGATTTTATCATGAATCAGTAATTCAATTGATTCGTTCGAACGGCTGAATCATTCAGGAATGAAGCAAGTTACTGTCTTTATGAACTGACGGAAATCCGTCGTAGCGACGGATCTTTAATTCCTGCTATATACTTGTATTATTTTTTGTTTCTTTATAGAAGTGGGAAATACATTCAGTGCAGTAAGAAAAACTATGTATTCATGACAGCATATCTAATTTTAAAGGTAAATCCAAATTCTTATTCAATGTGCTGATGACAAATTTAACGTAATGACATTTTGGCAATCGAATCCATCTGCAATAATGTATAAACAAAAATATTACTATATTAAGCCATAATATAGCATGCACAAGAGAGAATGCACTAAGAATAATTTATAATACCATTTGCACAGTTTTAGCACTCATTTTAATCAAATAATTATAGAATCAGGTGCACTGGTACAAACATGTTTACAAAATCTGTGCTAAATGTATTTAACACATTGCATTTCCCATATTTAATTGTTAGATGCAGCAGATTATTATAATTTCAGTGCATTTCAGCACAAATTAGGACGTGCTCGTCCATACACGTCCAAATATCTGGGTACTGTTATGACTGCAGGCCGATAAATAGGCTTTTGCAGTTTGCTTTTGACAAATGCTTTGATTAGTTGTCCAAGGCTCTTGTGGGAAACATCTCAGGGACTTCCTCAGCCCCGTAACAAAATATCAAGGATTTTGTAAAAAACAAAGGAAAATAGCTTCAAGCAATATGCATCAATGGTATATATTAATACATAAATTAGAACATTAGAACAGATTGCTTAAAGCAATCACAAAGGCTTGTTACATGCAAAACAGTCAAAGGTTTACATTGCACCGTGACAGAAGGTGGCCACGGGCTATAGAGAACATTTTGTAGTGTGAAGGACAAATTCACTAAAAAGTTGTATCTTTTGTGTGTGATATTATGCATTGTGTTCATAAAGCATCCATGCCACAGTTTAATCAGGTGCTTTCTACACTGATGTAGCATTGCACCATGTATAGTTTTGATGAACTGTATATAATAACTTTATAAAACAGTTAGTTTCAGTCCTTTATTCTGATCCCCCGTCAACAAAAGTCTTTTTATATGGGAGATCAGACATTTTCTCATGCTGAGAGATAAGCAGATATATGTGAGAAAATATCATATATGCTGTTGAAAAATAAATGAGATGTACAGCTCCTATTCTCTGTTTTTATTTGAGCTACATAAGATGAGGCACGTTACACCGGAACATTCTCTTGCCATTTACTGTCACTGTCAGGAACTCTTTTTTTTAGCAGAAGGATATGATTTAATGAATGCAATTAAAAAAGTACCAATACATACATTTTTATGGTTGTAATATTTGTATTATGTGATAACCGTTTTATAAAAGCAATAAGGTACTCGAGGCTGTATTGTAAATAAGCCACAGCTGAAGGAGTTGCAGTGACAATAAGGAAAATAAGCCCTGGAAGCATACAGTCATAGAGTTCTGTCTGATTTTTTAAGCTGTTTTCCTCAAAGGGACCAGAAAAATGTCCCCACTAGGGCAAAATATACTGATATTAATATCCTTGTGCTTATGGGGAAATTTGGACGGCATAATGTAGGGAATACCAAGTACCCCCACACACACACGCACGCACGCACGCTGGGTTTCCATGTTTTATGTGGACTTCCCATAGGCATAATGGTTTTTATGCTGTACAAACTGTATTTTCTATCCCCTTACTCTAAACCTACCCTGTACACAAAACTTTCTGCTATTTTATATTCCAAAAAAACTAAAAAACATTCTGTTAAATTTGTAAGCTTGGACCACACACACACACACACACACACAGAGGTGGTCTAGTTGTAGCTTCCAGGTCTCTATAGGAATATCTAACCAGGCTTCATTCTTGAGTCACAATCATAGGAGGAATGGCACAGCAGGAAACATTGTATGCCAGTAAACAAACAGAGCCTCTGTTAGCAGGCTTACACAATAAGAAACACAGAAGCTGTCTAGTGTAGTCTAACCACAATAATCTACAATGCTTTATTACATGCATGTACTGTATAGAGCTCCGAAGGTTGACGTCACGCACTTTAAACTCCACCATTTTGGCAGGCAATCAGGAGAACGCTAGAGCATTGGTATCGACAGTTGTACAACAATAATTTAAAACCAGACTATTTAGACCTTACTCTTTCAACATGGTGGACAGCTGCTGTGCGCCAGGATGCCAGAACAGGCAGGGGAAAGCTAGGGTTGCCAACCGTCCCGTATTAGCCGGGACGTCCCGTGTATTGGGCTTAATTTATGTGTCCCATACATGACATCCCTTGGTCCGTTTCTTGCCCCATCACACAGTATTCGTTAAGTAAATCAGAAAATCCTGAACATAACTGTTCGAGGAAGGCTGCAGAAACTTTTGCTGGCTGATCGCTCCCGCTTAAGTGGCGCTCACGCTTACGCTGTAACGTGGGAGGCGTGACAACGGAGTTGAGGATCCAAATGCAGCTTTTATTCACAAGAGTGGTCAAAACAGGCAGGGTCAAACACCAGCAAACAGGTACAATCCAGGGCGAGACAAAAGAGCAATCCAATAAACAGTCCAAGGTCAAGAAACAAGAAGGAAAGGCAAGGAAATACAGAGACTCGGAACAGGGTACAGGCTAAACAATAACCAGCAATGTGTGTGTGAATGAGTGCAACCTTTATAGTGTCAGTGATAGGAAACAGGTGTGATGCAATAATAAGTTCCTACTAATGTGAGACATCTGTGAACTGATGATGAGATCTGACGAGAGACAGGTGATGCACTTGATGAGTCCGGGCAAAGGATTATGGGAAATGGAGTCCTGAGTGAATGACAAGGTACAGAATGGAGTGCCCTCTAGAGGAGCTCATGGGCACTCCAGCTGGAGATCATGACATACGCCAATTCCGTCCGTGTTTTGACTTTGGTAAATCAGTTTTGGCAAATACAAACTACGTGATTATTTTTCATGAGTCCAACATCCCGCCGTGCAAGAAAACATGCAATCTACCCGAGACGTGATAAATAAGGGAAGCCGTCTTTTATTGCAAAATAGAGAAAAAAACATTTTACATTTAAGTAAGCTTCTTAACCATGTAGTCTATCTCACACAAAATGACCAATAAAAAAAAGTGTCAAGCACCAAAAGCAGCACATATTAAATATATAAGTTATCTTTAATTCAAAAATACGCATTTTCATATATATATAATATACGCGATTGTCCCATAAAGCAAAGGGGAAATTGTTTTACCGTATTCCTAAGGATCCCGATAGACGACTAAAATGGTTCACTGCAATAATACATGCTAACAACACAAAATTTGGGATTAAACGGGTAAGATTTAATGACATTTATGATGTCTACTGTACTCACAATGATATAGCTATGCTGGCTTACCTACAAGGACAGCTAGGGTCATTTACGTTAGCTAACAACACATTTGACTTACCCTTCCAGTGACGACATAGCAGGCTGAATATTCATCAAAAAATTCGATTGCGTCCATTTGTACCCCTCCAGACTTTTGTAGGCTTTTAAAGAGTCTCCGGAGTAATGTTAGGAGGGAAAGTTGATGAGGTAGTTGTAGATATCAGGATACTGCCGGTCAGGAAATCTATCCGTTCCTTTATTGATAGGCTACACGTTAAAAGCACCACGGGGGCATTATAGGGATCTGTTATGCTTAATCTGTTAAGTTTTGCTATGTGCAGGTCTATGTCTAGTACGCAGTGAACTCTGTTGCCTTGAAACTCATGCTGGCGCCATTCATTTCATATTCGCTCCCGGCTGTCCCTGCCTGCCAGCATGGTGGTGTAAACAGAATGGATCACGTGACGTCCGGAGCTCTACACACATTGCATATGATGTTGCTGTTAATTTGTATTTCAAAATTCTTCTAAAGGAATAATTCACCCACAAAAACGTTTTTAACTAACACTCATGTCATTGTAAATCTGTATGACTGTCTTTCTTCAGTGGCACACAAAAGGAGAAATTTATCAGAATATCACTCTTTCCCAGTCACTAAGGTTGAATGATAATGGGAACTGTCAAGCTCTTAAAATAAAAATATAATAAAATAACTTTTGGGTAAACTACTTCAGTCTAAAGTGGTTTGATAAGAATCACACAATTAGCTGATTCGTGGCTGGTTTCAAAGATTTTTACTTCCTTTATTAGTAGTAGAAAATAAGAATCTGTAAATGTGTCATTAGGTTACACACTGAGGATTTTGCTGCACGTAGAAGAATTTGATATCATGCTATCAGACGCTATAATCCTCACTCATTACGTAGTAACTTTGTGCAAACATTTTCACTTTTAGTTAGACCTCTGATCAACTGTTCAGAAAATAAGCTGGTAAGATACAGTGGATAACATGAGTCTAATCCTCTGTGATCATCTATGATTTAATATGCAGAGTCAGCTTTACAGGACATGAGTGATTTTGATGAAGTGGGCTACCAAAATCTGCTTGTTTGACAGTTATAAGAATAAACTACATTAAAGTGGTGCTTACCAGCACAAAACTCATC